TGTCGGTGGGTGCAGAGTGCCAGCGCCCATTTGACAGAAATAACATTACAACTGTACAGCTTTGTCGTGGAGAAGTTGCCTCCTACACCCTCGAGATTCCATTACATCTTCAACCTCCGTGATTTGAGCCGTGTGTATGAGGGGCTTTCCTTGTCAACACAGGATCATTTCACAACGGGGGGAAAGTTTGTGCGGCTGTGGAGAAACGAATGCCTTCGAATTTTCCATGATAGATTGATTTCCAAAGAGGACAAGATGCTGGTCATTGGCCACTTGGCAGAGCTTGTGAAGAAGAAGTACGCTGCCTCAGCGGATGCAGTTCTGGCCGATCCTATAGTATTTGGTGATTACAAGCATGCTCTGAAGGAGGGCGAAGCTCGTCTGTATCAAGATCTTAAGGATTACGACTCTATCAAGCCCATCTTTGAGGAGATTCTTGAAGAGTATTGCCTCAGAAACAAGAAGATGAACCTGGTGATGTTTAATGATGCATTGGAGCATGTGACCCGGATTCATCGCATTGTCAGGCTCAGCCAAGGAAATGCCCTGCTGGTGGGAGTGAGCGGTAGTGGCAAGCAAAGCCTGGCCAAACTCGCAGCATTCACTGCCGGCTGCCTTGTGTTTGAGATTACCTTAACAAGGAATTACGATGAAACAGCATTTCGTGAGGATCTTAAGAAGCTTTACTCAACACTTGGAATCGACAACAAGAAGGTCCTCTTCTTGTTCACGGATTCACATGTTGCTGATGAGGCCTTCCTGGAGCTTGTTAACAACATGCTCACTTCAGGAATGGTTCCCGCTCTGTATGCCGAGGAAGAGAAGGATGTCCTTGTCAATCAGGTCAGTCTTCAATTGCGGTTGCTGCGGGTTCTGTTATGCGTTAACTGCACAGAATGAACTCCATCCACAGTAACGAAATGTTGACCCTAAGCTTTCATACACTTATTTGTGTCGACTCTGGGTAAGATATCTTTTCAGACATTGAATGCGACATCCAATGATCAATGGCATGCATGAATTGCACACAAGCACTGCCGAGCGGGATCTCATTTCCGATGATGGTAATCAACTGCATGTATGACGCATGCACAAGAGGGAATGAAAGTTGTTGAGCTAATTATAACCACGAGAATACACATTGCAGCTTCATTCCTGCAAAACAGGGTTTTGGAAAATTTGTAGAGAAGGTAGTAAAGATCACAGGTCAACAGATCGAAATGTACCTTCCCGTGTTTTACGTAACACATTTGAAGAAAGTTCTATTTTCCTGTTCTGTCCTCTTCTGTGCATTTGCGCATTGCGCTTGCTTGTGTGACTCTCTCTCTCTCTCTCTCTCTCTCTCTCTCTCTCTCTCTCTCTCTCTCTCTCTCTCTCTCTCTCTCTCTCTCCGTGTGTGTGTGTGTTGCCATGTTCGCTATGCACCACTGCACAAAAAAAGCATGACTGTGGCAGACGGTGTAGCTTGTGTCACGTACAATGTGAAATCGTTACACCATCTGTTCTCCAAAGTAATAAATTGGCATACTGTTCAGATGGCAGATCATAAAGGCATTGAATCTGCACCGCTCCTACCAGCTACTCATTTCTCGGATATTCCCAGTGTATCTTTGGCAGCATCATTCTTTTTTTTTCCTTTTCCAAGTAATTCCTACTGCACAAAATTGGACGATGAAACACAGATCATTTGACGATGATGACGTTACTGTGCAACTGTTCAGTTTTGGGATCAAACGCTAGTGTGTTGCTGTGATAGTTGTGAGCAAGGGCTTAATTAGCAATCTTTGATGCACGACCATGACTCTGACGGAGTCTTACCAGTGTTACCACCATTCCCGCTGGTGCAGGAGGGAGAAAAGAGGCAGAAAAGGTGGAGAAAAGAGGGAAGAAAGAAGAGAAAAACGAAAACAGAAAAGAGAAAAGAGAGAAGGATAGATTTGCATTAAAACTTGCATGATCTCCAGCATCCGAGTCCTTAGCAGAATTCTGTGATTGTGACTTTATCCGTGACTTTCCGCTTTTACAAGCATATTAGCAATTGAAAGGATTCACACTGCAAAAACACCCAGTTCCAGTCCCAGGGTCCTGACAGGTCCCACGTCCCAGGGCCATCTGGTAGGGTAGGGCATAGGGGCAAGAGGCCAAAGTGTCGTAGGTAGGTAGGTGTCGGTACCGAAACGTCGTAGGTGGGTAGGAGTCCATCCGGTACCCGACAAGAAAAGTCCAGAAGCGTCCAGTCCAGTCCAACAGTCCCAAGTCAATTTTGCAGCATGTCAAGTCCGGAAGCTACCGGAGCGACAAAATGTTTGCAGCAGACAGGCCGCGGCCGACCGGTACCGGTCTGAAGCAGGCCAAGCCAAGCCAGGCCCAGCGAAGCCAAGTCCTATATTTAACTGCTACAATGAAGCTGCTCATCACTTGTTCAGTTGCAAGATGCGGAAGCGCTGCTGCTCCTTGTGCGTTAAGGCAACGTAGGCACTGTGCATCTGAAGAGGAAGATGAAACGGTTTTCACCTTTTGCAGTCACAGATGCGGATCCCAGGGCTCGATCTCCAGACCTTACCTTACCTTACTATATTATCAAGTCGACCCTGTGTGTCTTGAACCCGTGACCAGTGCGTTTGTAGTTGAAAGTTTTGTCATAGGTCTGAGTAGTTGTCGGGTCTTGAACCTTAGACCTGTCGAAGTAGGGGTCATACCTGCATAGGGGTCGTAGTCGTTGAAGTTCTGAAAGGTAAAGGTCGTAGCTGCTACAGTCCTGAAAGGTCAAGGTCGTAGCTGCTACAGTTCTGAAAGGCCAAGTCCGCAAACTTCCGGAAGGTCTGGAAGTGGCCTTTCAAGTTTCTTCTCACGTTATGCACAGCAGACCAGAGGCAAGTGGGCAAGTGGTGAGTCCAACTTCGCTTAGTCAGCGGTACCCAGCCCCATTCTCACTTTGTACAGTCAGCAAGTACCATGAGGGACTGTGTGCACCATGGGCCCGGTGAAAAAGGGCAGACCAACGACCTACAGAAGTATAAATCAAGAGGCAGCATCCAGCCATTCATTCATTCCTGCGTGAGCCATGCGGAAGCGCTGCCCGAGCATCTTGTGCAAGGTGGTCTGCAGGTGCCCGAGGTCGAAGTGGGCTTGGAGAAGTTAGTGTGTCATCGTTAGTAGTAGCCGGCGGCCATAGCCGCCATAGCCAGCGGTAGATGTTAGTGTGTGTGTATGTGTGTGTAATGGAGTGAGCGCGTGTGGGGTATTCAGGGTGATCTCGAGTTGAGTGTGTGCGAACAGTGGTGTTGGACAGAGTGACGAGAGTTGGGATGTACAGGCGCTGATGCGCCATAGCCTGTTGAAGCGAGTTTGCATCTGAACTGTGTTCTTGTTTTCCATATCTCTGAGCTTTGAGTGGGCGCTTGGCGCCAGTGTGAATCGCCATCTGTTTGCATATATGCGAAGTGAAGAAGAAAGCGAGTCTGATTGCAAAGATGGCGCCTGAGATATACTTCATAGCTAGCCTAGACGTAGAGCAACCTGAGTGGGTGTATCCAGGTTAATGATCCAGGGTGGAGAGAGAGAGAGAGAGAGAGAGAGAGAGAGAGAGAGAGAGAGAGAAAAGGGGGGGGGGGGGGGGGGGGGGAGAAGCCATAGCCGTTATCTGGTTGAGACCCGTTGCGTGTGTGTGCGGCAAAGCCACTGGAGACAAACATTCTTGTATATGTGAATGTTCATTGATGTATGCGAAGTTGAACTTTACGAGTACTTGGCTTATTTCACAATCCCTGATACATTATGTATGTGTCAGCAGGTGCTGGCATGCGTTCATTCTTAGCGAGATCATCCAGTCAGACATCTTTAAGTACATGTACTTGCCTGAAAAACAAGGGGTCAACAGGAAAAGAAGAGGAGGAGGAGGGAGGGAAGGAAGAGGAGCAGAAGGAGGAAGCCAAAGAAGAGGAATAAGAAGAAGAAGACTATACTGGCCTGACAGAGAAGATTAGCATGGCTCCTGCCCAAAAAAGGATGGCATGCACAAAGCGAGAAATTATCCAAATCGAATTCTTCATATTGAAAGGAGAAAAATAGAAAAGAGAACTCCAAATAAAAGTGAAAAATAGAAAAAAGGTTGTACCATGAGGTCACAATCACAAAGAGAAAGCATTGCCCTTTAGGCCACTTGGCTGTTCTAGAGGAGTTCCCTGTTTCAGACCAGTTCCCTGTTTCTTTTTTAAATTGACAGACTGATCTGGATCTGTCCCAACCACATTTTCCTGTCGTCCATGTGCTGCCCACTTCTCTGACTGTATGCAGTCTCTGACCCTTGAGTCCACTCCCTCCACTCTAGGATGGATCTGTCCTAGAGTCAGCCTGAGTTCTCTGCCTCCACTGCTCGCTCTTGGCCTCGGTCCTCTTGTCTGACTGTATGCAGTCTCTGACCCTTGAGTCCACTCATTCTCTCTGTCTCACTAGCTTGCTCCAAGACTGCATGTCATGGTCGGCAGTGACAAAGTAAATACACATGATCATGGCATGATGATGACAACGGTTTTGATGATGATCATCATAATGACGCTGACTTGCACCCAGAGCAGGGTAAATAGCAGAGACTTATCGCATCGATGGAATCGCAACATCTGATTTGACAGGTGCGAGATGAGGTGACAGCAAAGGGACTTGTGGATACGAAGGAGGTTTGCTGGGGTTACTTCACCAGTAAGTGCCGGGACAACCTGCATGTGGTGCTTGGCATGTCACCTGTTGGTGAGACTCTGAGGACACGATGTCGCAATTTCCCAGGGATGGTTAATAACTGTGTCATTGACTGGTTCACTCCTTGGCCCCCGGAGGCGCTGCATTCTGTGGCCTCTGTCTTTCTCACAGAAACAAACCTTCCAAATGAGCTCCGAGGGCAGATCATTGAACACATGGTGATGGTGCACGACTCAGTATGCACATTCAGCCAGGAGTTTGAAGCAAGGCTTCAACGCTACAATTATGTTACTCCTAAGAACTACCTAGACTACATAGGAAACTACAGGACATCCCTTTCTGACAAGAGGCTCGAGATGCAAAAGATGATTTCAAGACTGGATACTGGACTGACCAAACTTGTCCAGGCAGCAGAAGAGGTGGCTACAATGCAGGTAAATCCAATGTACACCGAAGCCTATCATTTTATTTTTCCGTGCAAATAAAAAAGGGAATAGGCACCCCGCAATGGAATTGTATTCGACAAGATTTGAACTCTTGATGTGTTTATCTAACTTTATCAACAATAATGTGTGGGTATCATTCAGCCTCCACACAAGAACACTAAGCAACTTTTTTTCCTAAAAGATCCTACTGAAATGTCTCTCTCTCTCTCTCTCTCTCTCTCTCTCTCTCTCTCTCTCTCTCTCTCTCTCTCTCTCTCACACACACACACACACACACACACACAC